AAGCCTTTGATTTGGAGTGAGGCTGAAGGTGACCTTGTTGTGATAGAGACCAGTAGCTAGTTAGCATGATAACAAAGTAAATTACATTTTAAAAGCAGCAAGGTTTGTATCATAACAAGGTCACCCTTAGCCTCACTCCTATTCAAAGGCTTGGCAACCAAGCACACAACTGTAAAACACTAAAATGGACTATTGCACGATCACAGCTCGGACGCTTCCTGCAAAATGTGATGACTACCAAATTTAGAGATTAATTCTTCAGTTTCCAGCATGAGGAAAAAATATCGTATCGCAAGCATGTTCATCATAACGCCTCGAGATGTTGAGCGAAGAGAAAGTGGCTCCATGTTTTGTGACACAAACCATTTCCTGAAGTTCGGACGAATCGAGTAGAAAGCATGAAAACATAGCGCTGAAAAGTACGACAACCAAACAATTAAATTCACTCATCCCGCTGTAGAACCATCTCCACTTTACCCGTAAGTTTGTTTGCATCACACATTTGCAGTCCGTAATTTGATTCTCAGATGTTTGACGGGTTCTCACATGACAATATTAGACTTAATATAAACATGAACATCGCTGACTTAATCCCATTTTATTTTAATTTTGGGAAAGGCCATTACTTTGTTCTTAGGGTAAAACAACACATCTTCGGCAAGGCGCAAATTTTTCAAATGAACAGAGTAAATCCTGCGGTAATTAACTGAAGAGAAAAAAAAGTAGAAACTTGCGCTCGCCGTTCGACATCATTTGAAAACTTTCAAGGCAAAACAAAATACGTAAGATAACTTCTTTTCCCATAACACCACGACTGTATTAAACTTTCAAACGAAAGGACAAGAAATAACTTGAAGAATACGAACACTATGCAATATTATTCGAGCGATGAACCGGCGTAAGACTTTTTAGGCGATGAATGCCAGAGTCAATGTTTAACCGAAACGTGATCAGTTGAATTCAAAACTGAAGCTAGTATCAAACGACGATTGGAAAAAAAAAGTTTGAATTTTGTTCTGAGTTTTAGCGTAAGAGAAAACCCAGATAGGACACGACTTACCTTCTCTTCTTTCGCGGATCCTTTGCAGTTCATTTCTCTTTGTTGATGACCTCTTTTCAGTTGTTTTCAGAGGCGACTTTGTATTTCCTCCTCGCGTTGCTCTTCGCTAGAAACTGGCCTTTTTACTTATGTCGTACGGTCGTACGGTCGTACGGTCGTACAACCAAATTTTTTGGGCTTGATGGGTTACTATTACCACTATTTGGTGTAGTTATGGGGCTACGCTCTGCGAGCTCCGCTACTACTGAACTAGTAGATGATAAAAAAAGGCCTGAAAAAAATTCAGGCCCGAACGGGATTTGAACTCATGACCTCTGCGATACCGGTGCAGCCCGCTACTACTGAAAAATATTTCGCGAGTGAGCGAGGCGAACGAGTGCATTATTTGAATCACAAGTGGAAGTCAAGATAATTATTAGCTTTATTCAGCGCGAGATGTTAGTCATCTACGGTTTACCTTTCAACGATGTAATGCTTTCTTAGAGATGTCACGACAGACTCGTAACAAGCATGTTCATATCAAAAATATCTTATCGAAATTCTTAGAACGATGAGTGAATCTTCACTTACATTGATGAGTGACAATGAAGTAGCGATATACGAGCGCAAGCCTTGCAAGATGTTGCTCGAGGCATTGTCGATAAAATCTGTGTCCACATTTCGTCGGAACTGGCTCTCTCTGTGTAAGTTGACAAATTAAACACAGCAAATCGTCGTCAATTGGACTCATGAAATCCTCTCTAAATGAACGTTTTTCATTTTCAAGACTTTGCAATTAACTCCAGTAAAGTTAATCGTCTGTTGGCCGCTTTACACAGACTGACTGAAAACAAATCTCTCAAAACAATCCAAAATTTATGTAAAATGGCTATGCTTGACTGAGTCGCATTAAATTCTACGAAACTTGGAACAGTTTCCTTCAACCCGTCTGAGCGAGAAAAGACCACGCTTGAACTCATCAGAAAATACGCGACCTTAGAGTCCTTCTTTTGATCATTACGTTAAAATTTAAATGGAGCAATGTCATCATAAGGGAAAGTAAGAATTTTTTTTTCGAGCTAAGGCAAATTTTCCCCGATATATGAAGATTTTTACTTTCCATAAACATCATTTGTTCCCTGCTTTTTCAGCGATTTTTAGGCTGAAGTAAAACGACAAATCTCAACAAATCTAAAAATAATCTAAAATGCCTCGTAGAATTCAACAAACCGATTGATATAGACCAATAAGCGTGAAGACACGGACAATGCTTCTTCAGGCCACGAAGAGGACTTTGTGGAAGAAGTAAATGTCCCATATGTCATTTACCGCTAAAGGAACCGGTTCTTACAAGATTTGGCCACAGATATTGCAAAGAATGTCTTGACGAGCACATTGGAAGGTACGAGTTTATGACAAGCAGCTTTCAGTATTGATTGCTCACTTAATCTAATCACCCAAGAGAATTCATGACTGGATGTCAGTGTGTTTCAACTGAATTGAATCACTACCAAAGTCGAAGTCCATCTTATTAATCTAATCAGAGAATGATGGTCGGTTGCATGATCTTAAACATCAGTTGCAGGGATAATAACCACCACAGTAATTAACTCGGTGATGCAATTTTTCAATTTCTAGCATTGCATTCGATTAGTTTCAATCAAAATACGCGCCTAACTTCCTCTAAAACGTGGCACGATACATTTTCTGAATTGTCAAAAGTAATGAACGGGTTTCATACTCACTCGTCCAAAGAGCAAAATATCTTAGAATCGAAAGCGGAAATCGGTAGTACAATTATCTACTGCAAGTGCGATTGCTGTTCAAAGTTCAAATCTCATCTCCTTATTCATTACTTTGTGCTTAGAAGTGCTGCGATACTACTAGACCAATCACGCTATTCAAGGTTTCAGTTCGCCTCATTTGTCATCCACAACTTAATTGTTCCGCCACGAAATTACATGATTATATAGACTTATTTTATCTACCTTGTTAATTGTAAATTGTCAATGCAATGAAATATACTCGCTCGGAAAAATCCTAACAAGGGCTTCATTTTTTTATTACTTCTTAAGTCTTGACCATTCTCAATGGTTTGACTTGTTAGAGTCTTCCTCAAACACACGTTTTACTTTTATAACTAAATATTTTTAACAGTTTTCTCTTTTCTTTAGTCTACTGTTTTTTTCTTCTTGAAATACACCTTACTTATTTGAATTTTTCTTAATTAAATACTCCCTAATAAAGGCTCTTATAAAGAGAAAGCACTTATGTTCAGGTCAATTACCACCTTAGGACGACGTAAAAATTATGTTAATGTGATTATTTCTAAGGAAATTTTCCCTGATAAAGCAACAGAAAGGAAGATTCTCTCTCTAACGATCAGATGTCCAAATAATGGCTGTGAATGGACTGGGAAGCCGACCAACAAGAAGGTAAAACTAGCACATATTTCGATAAATGTCAATAAACAACTTCATCAGCATAAGTTATTGTTTTCGTCTGTTGAAATAACAAAGCCACAGACATCGTTCAAGTTCGTACATGTAGAAGCAATACATAGAGACGACGGGCTTAATAATTCTTAACTTCTCATGATCAGGGAGAGTAAGGAACCAATGCCCAAACTAAAGTTGTTTTCGTTTTATTTGTTGAACAGGTCCACTTGGAATCTTGCCCTTTTCAGCAAGTAGCGTGTGCCAACAAGAACTGTCACGAAAAAGTCCAAAGAAACCATCTTACACATCACGAAAATAATGTGTGTCCATGGAGAATCCTTCAATTTACATACTGCACGGAGCCCCACCCAGATTGCATAATGCAAGTAAGAATTGTAAAAGTGGAGGAATCCAAGAAAAATAACACACCTCTTGCCAGGAAATCTGTTGTTTCTGTCGAAAATATTGAGAACCTTAAAATTAAATAGGAATTAGAGTATATAGATAACAAAATATATTTTCGAACTTTAAAAAGGGTCTCAATGGGGTTATTGCTTTTACGAAGTATTAGTTAAAAGTTTGGCCTCTTTACGGCTAATTTTCAATATTTTTCCATTGCGCTCATTAAAAGAATTCCACGGTTGATTTTTTACGACTAACGGTTTATAATTTGTCAATTTTTCACGCCCAACGGCTAAATTTTTGGCCTTTTTAAAGCTAACGGCTAACCCCATTGACATTCTCTTAAAAGCCCGATTCCCGACGGAAATTGATTGAAAAAAAAGGAAACAGAGAGAAATCAAATTTCCACATTCCTGTATTTATTTTATTCTTTTTTGTGTGTTTAGGGCCATATTAGACAGTGCAGCAAGTTCCCAGTGGCTTGTCCAAACAGCTGTGATCGTTGAATTCCAAGGGACATGGTGAGACTTTCAGGTTTATCTGTGATAGATAATCTGGTCCTGGTTGTTCGAAGGTTGGATAGTGCTATCCACTGTATAAAACTCTATTCGGTGGATAACGCCATATCTTTTGCTATCAATTATCTGCTGGATAGCGATTTATCCGTTTGATAGCGTTATCCGCCCTTTATACAACTGGACCCTAAAGTTTGCAGCGAATCTTTTGCGACTAGATGCAGCTTTAATACACAATATTTTTCTTTCAAGCATCAACTTACACCTTTTTACTTTAAAATTTCCTTAGATAATGTAAAACATACAAAATTATGAATCGTAAAAACAATTCCGACGGACATACAGGCGGATGCCTCACAGCTATAAAAATTTCTGACAAATGGTTCTTATTGGTGCTTGATCAAAAGTTTCTTTAATTAGGTTCATAATCACAGGCAAACAATATTAAAGAGAGAAAAATGCCAAACAATTCCTTTTTTGCTTTATTTAAAGCTTCACACGTTATTTCCCCGTTACATCTCATTCTCACTGAACAACAACAAACCACCTTTACAGGCCGCACTCATTCTTTTTTCAGCCCGTTCCAGGCTCTCAGTCAATGAAAAACGCAAAACAGCGAAGGAGAGCCACATTGTTATGAGAACCTCATTGTGATGTCCTAACGACAGTTGTCGGCGATCATCGATTGATTTTGAATTTCTTTATCAACACTTGCATCTACGTCAATCACTTGACTTCATATGATGGATTCCAAAAACAGTGCTACAGTTCTATTCATTAGATTCGATTTCCACTCGAAAATGGCAGATGAGCGAAAAGTGGCATCTGTAGTCGTCAGAGAAAAGGCTTTAGAACTTAAAGTGACACCCACGTTCAATCTCGCCACCCCTTCAATGCTCTTTTCCACAAAAAGATTTTGGTGTGTGCCATTCCTTTTTATTCTAGTCCTTTATTTCATGTGATGCAGGTTTCGAATCACACTAAAGATGAGTGTCCGCTGACCATAATTTCCTGTCCATATGCAGGAATGGATTGTAATACAAAGGTGAGAAATTAATGTAACAGACCCGGAGAAACGCATGTGCCTTATGACTTTATATTCCATCGTGGTACGCTTCGTATTTGATATTGTCAAGAAGAATTGTAGAAGCCATTTTTTTATATACAAAATGTTCCCAGCAGCTACGAAATGAAGCAGACAGTTTCGGGCGGGTATGGTGGATGGACCAATATCTGCCGCTAATAGCCAATACCTTCACATTAATAAAGTAATCTTGCTCATTTATGGAGGCAGTCATGTAATAAATGACCTTCCTAGTCAAAAGTTCGAGGAAATATAACCAACAGGAAAGATTCTGACGAGTGTGTTGACGATCACGTGAAACCGTTATCAAAAAGAACTTTAAATCAAATTAGCTGTTTTAGTTGAGGGCTTAGTTTAAGGCATGTATAATTTCTGGTAAATGAAGTATAAATTTTCATGTAGGTCCAACGTCAAGAAATGGAGTATCATCTTGAATCGGCAACAAGAATCTATCTTGCTTTACTTTGTATTAAATTAAATAACACGGAAGACATGTTAAATAAGACAGAATATGAGCTGAATACCACAAAAGCTTTGTTAAATGAGACAAGAGTTGAGTTGAAAAATGCCATGGCACTGCTAGAGTTGTCGAGCGTAAAACATAACAACGCGTTTCTTTGGCGGATTGACAGTTTCAGCGACATGTTGAAAGAAACCAAAAACGGAGGAAAAAGAGAATAGAGACTGATCCATTCTACGTCAAAACCGGAACAGAAAGTTTTGGTTACAAGTTAAAACTGTACATTTATCCTAATGGGTCTGGAGGTAGCAAAAACACTCACCTCTCGGTGTTCATGGCTGTAATGAAAGGTGAATAAGACGTATTTTACGCTGGCCCTTCGATAAGAAAGTGAAGTTCACATTGATTGATCAACAGGATGATCCAGACCAACGGGAAAACGTGACCAGTGAGATCGTTACGAAAAAAAGTTCAATACTTTGCAAGGCCCGAGACAGAAGAAAACAAGGGAAAAGGAGTTCGTTGTTTCATATCACATTTGGAACTTTATTCGCAGCGCTACATTGTGGATGACACACCGTTTCTTCGGGTTAAGATTAGTCCATCATCTAACACAAACTCCAGTCTTGAATTTTGAGAAAATTACGTTACATTCTCGATGCAATTTTGACAAATCGCCCAGAGAGTGGACTCTGACGAATTGTTTTTAATTTTCCATGAACATTTGACTGAATTTTTAGTTTATCAATGCTGTTACCTAGTTAGTACCATCACAAAGCCAATTGCTTTTCTTTCTCCAATAAACCCAGATAAATAAGGATCAACTGTGGATGACATGAAGCCATGACAGTTTCGGATCAATTAGTAATCCCATAATGAACCTCGCACGCGGTTAGTAAGAGGTATTTAATCTTTGTGAATTTCATTCAGTCAAGGCAACTAGTAATTTTTAAAGAGCTTATTTACGCTCGAAGCTGAAAAAATAAGAGAAACTGAAAAGACTAAACAGTCGCTGTGACGGGGTCACAACAGGTGTCTATAGGTCAGAAAGTAGATATTGGAGCAAAAGAACCGAAAGCCCTTTTTGGAGCGAAATTATTCCAAGAGAAATGATCAAACTTTCAATTCTGGCTTGAAATACAGACTGAAGGTCGCAACGATTGTTCAATGTTTAAGAATTATTTCAATGAATGATAGTTATATATCGTCAATGCATCCTCCTGTCTTTTCACTTTCTCTCAGTTTAAGATATTTATAAAAAAAAGACATATAAATCATAACTTATCCTATTGAAGATGACATATAAAGGGCAATGTAATGAGACATTAGAAATGACATGTGGAAAAACGAAAACAGTAAGCCTAACTGAATGGATGCGGAAATATAAGACCTATGTGGAAGAAAATTTACTATCTCTCTGATAGAATTTATTTCATTATCATGTCCCGAAGTCGATTTAGCAATTTGAGTTCAAATGTCCGCAACGCATTGCAGATTAATGTAATTAGGGAATCTCGAAGATGTATTCTTGTGGCGCTCGGTAGTCGTAAGGCTCTCCTGATGTTGCCATTTTAATCTTGGGTATCCATGCTTCCAGAATTTCGATTCCTCAGTGTCTGTTAACATTTCTATCTAAATCGGAAGTTGCTAAAATAGACATGCTGTCATAAAAAGTATCCTTTACCTCATCCGAAAGGTAGAAACATTTGCTTACTTAATATTCGCCTAAGCTCCTTTTGGCTGTGTTTGGCTTCCACTCATCTTTAATCCTTGAACGAACTGCAACGTCCCATTTCCATTTATTTTCTATCAGATTCAGTAAAAAATTTGAAGCCACGCTTGTTTTTTTGTCTTTTCTAACCTTGGAAGTTTCCTAATTTTAAAATTTCTTATGAATTTTCTTGTTTCTTTTTTTTTTAGGGGGCGGGGGGGCGGGGGCAAAAAAATTTCTTTTATTACAGTGATAGTCATCAAATGTTATATATTTCCTTTTTTGTCCCAAGTGAACTTAACACGATTTTTAAAAGTTGGGAACAGGGAATACCGGTCCTTGAAATAAATACTAACCTCCTACTGACTGAATTTGACTCCCTTACTGAAAGTTATGGATCGAGGAGCGCGCGGATCGAAGATCGAAGCTTAAAAAAGGGAATCTGTTACTCACGATAAAGGCCAAAATAGTAAGTATGATATCTGTAATATCCCTACTTCTGACGGGTTCGGGAAATGATTTCCAGTCGCACGAAGCGCAATAAAAGGACTGACGCGCATTGAAAGTAAAATGAGTTGATTCTAATTTGGTTTTAAAACTAATTAGCAACAAGGAGAACATTGGATTCTAGCGGGCCTTGCAAAAATACAATAATTTATGATAACAATTTTTCCACATTCATTTCCGAAGAAAAGTTACACAACTTAAACTCAGTTTAGCACCTTGTCAGTTTTACACAAAGCTTATAACCAAGCAATAATATGGTGCACTCCAACGCGATTAGACTTCATTTCATTTTCGGCTCCACTAACCACAAAGTAACAGTTTACAAGGCCTTTGTGACAACTTAACTCACCTACCAACTCTAGAACTGTTTGACTAAAATCAGTCTCGTTTTCTCACTGAAACGACAAAAGCTGAATACAATTTCACTTGTAATAACCATAGTAGTCCTAAATGAACTTCATTAAAATCTCATTACAAGCAAGGAATCGAGGTTTGAAGAGCTAACAGTAGATCACAAGCAAGATTTCCATCATTCACTTGTTGGACATCGGGGTGGACTGGCTTGAACTCCACGTGTGCGAACTGGAGGCACCAGGAGCCTGTTTAGGAGCTTTATTTCACTGTCTGAGACTCTGTCTCACTTCTATTTCTTCAGCTCTTAGAACACGCTCTTAATGCTTTGTCGGTAGGCATGTTTGGGCTTGCAGGACAACGGACCTTGGACGATCCCACAAGACATTCGAAATGAACGACAAAGTGTTTAAGAGAGGTTGTCAGTAATTTTCGAGAATCCGGCGACACATGCAAAACTTAAACTTTTTTTTTTATTTGCTCCAAAAGACCCTTTTGGTGATTCGTTTTCAAAAATAATATTCAAAAGTTCCAGCGAGTTTTTATTTTGGAAAAAAATACGAAAGTTCGAAATCGGCCAAAACGTACCTAATTTGCATAATTTCTATTGGGCTTTCAGTGCATTTTCACAACGCTCGTACAAGACAACGAAAAATTATCTTGGATTCATTTTTTCATAAGTTGTTTTTCATCCCTCGGAGTAGCTTTGCAACTATATTTCATCTCCAACTGAACTTTCTTTCGTTTGTAACCACCTGCGTAAAGTACACTATATTTTCTATTCCGTTTGTACGCTGAATTTTGCTATATTTCAGACGACCATAACATCGGGGGTATACGAATGTACATAAAATAAAAGAGCTCTTTTCAACGAGATCCCTGATTAGAACTATATCCAATCCGTCACAGACTGAACAAGAAAGCGAGATATTCTTGCTAAGAGGAAGGATGTATCAAGACGTTTAAGTCATTGGCTGCCATCCAAAAGCATCCTAACAAAGGCGAACACAGTGAAGCTGACAAAGAAATCCGCCTATGATAAGATCAAGAGAAAATGGACGAAGACCGGCTTGCCATTTTAAAGGGGGTGGCTACGTTCAAGGTCGGACCTCAGGTAAACTTCTGACGAAACGTTCCTAACTAGCCAAATGGACTTTGCATGGGCTCTTTCGAAAACACAAAAACCAGCCACCTTTTCTCAGAAAGCAAAGAATTATCTCCTTGACGTGAGCTGAACAGGGGAGGAAACTAGTAAGGCAACCGCCTCTAACAAGATCTAACAAGGCAGAAGATAAGGAGTGACCTTGCAAATTTAGACGAAGACTGCAGGAGAGTGTACAGCTGCTATTAAGCTAAAAAAAACTTAAAGATCTTTGTATCTCACTTTTCAAAGTTGTCAAATATTTGGACGAATCGAAAGTCTAAAAACTCAGTCGTTTATTTGCCTCTGTTGATTGACAAGCCGTCAATCAAATTGACTGATACTTGAGGTGGACCTCAAATAAGGATCAAGAAAAACCGGGGAGGGTAGTCTATATCCCCCCGGAAAAAAACCAAAACAGAAAACCAGTTTGTCTTTTTTAGTTTTGGGGTAGATCCTTTAACCTGGAAAAGTTTCGTTGAAATCGGTGAGATAGAATGTAGCACGATTGCTCGGTGCTACAAGCCATTTTTCTTGGATTTCTTCGACAATTTTTACCAACAGAATTCCAACCTACAGTTGATTTGAAAATGTATCTCAACAGGTGGACTACACAAACACACTATTTTAATTACAGTGACAGTGGTAGAAATCTATAAAAGCAACCGAGCAAAACACCGAATGTACACACAATGTTCATGCACAATTAAGCGAGTATTTTCATGCGACAACTACATGCTTCGAATATTTTATGTGCGAAGATTTTATTCAAATCACGCTCACGAATTTACAACAACATTTATAGTTATATATTTATTATATATACTATATGTAACATTTATAGTTATATATAGTTATAGTTACTCTAAAGTTATGCCAGTGGGATACATTGTAAATTAAAGAACAATATGCGACAGGCCAATTTCAGCTAAAAACACGTCGACAGAGCTGGTATCTTTTAAACAGCGATTTGTTTATTTAACACTCGAGAAAAATCAACTCAAAAACTTTGCCTAAAACGGTGGTTTGTTCACTTAACAATGAAGGTAGGTTAATTTCTAAGTTAAAATTGATATATTTAAATGAATCAAAACTGAAGTAGAGACCAAACACGTTGAGTTTTGTCCCAATAGCGTGCGATTTGCAGTAGGATTACAGCAAGAAAATGGCCTAACTCTGTGAAAATGCACGCTATATATTTTGATCTGGCACGCTCCTTTTTCACGGGCCAAAAATAATATTTTTACATGATAAACACCAAGAATTTCTCGTTGAAAAGAGCTCTTTTATTTTATGTACATTCGTATACCCCCGATGTTATGGTCGTCTGAAATATAGCAAAATTCAGCGTACAAACGGAATAGAAAATATAGTGTAGTTTACGCAGGTGGTTAAAAACGAAAGAAAGTTCAGTTGGAGATGAAATATAGTTGCAAAGCTACTCCGAGGGATGAAAAACAACTTATGAAAAAATGAATCCAAGATAATTTTTCGTTGTCTTGTACGAGCGTTGTGAAAATGCACTGAAGGCCCAATAGAAATTATGCAAATTAGGTACGTTTTGACCGATTTCGAACTTTCGTATTTTTTTCCAAAATAAAACCTCGCTGGAACTTTTGAATATTATTTGTGAAAACGAATAACCACAAGGGTCTTTTGGAGCAAATAAAAAAAAAGTTGAATTTTTGCTTCTGTCGCTGGATTCTCGAAAATTACTGACAACCTCTCTGAAGAGGACATCCGTGCAAAAATCAAACAAAAATGAAATTTTTATGGCAAGAGTCGAAAATTCAAAGTGTCTCAAGTTTTGCACGCAATTAGACCCTAGTAAGACAAGAAAGACTGTATTTTTTTTCCTCAAATGTGTTTTTATTTTCGACTACGAACTTTTCGCTTTCACACTCTTGAATCGATGGATCGGGTCACAACAGGTCGAAAATTGAACGCTTTCGCTCGCTTCGAATTTCAAAGATGTTTCATCAAAGGAAATCTAACCAACGTTTGCTCTTTGATAGACTCTTTGTCTTCTGTAAAATGTAAGTTGTGTAGGAATTGGTTGCTTAGAAGCTTTTAGCCATGCGAAAAAACAATGTCCTCTCTTCCGTTACCAAAAAATGTCGGTGGAGAAAACCTCTTTTTTTCACCATGTGCTATTATTCAGAATTACACCAAATTACGTAAGTAAATTGCCGAAGGAATGATCTTCAAAATAACGTAAAGTTTTCTTTGGGAAAATGTTTTCTCGCGACGCAGGAAACTCTTCCAAATGGCACAGGGAAGACATAAAATCACGTGGTATGTAGATTGCGTGACCAAAGAGTTGAGGAGCATTCCTGCCTTCGAAATGACTTCGGATCGAACAGCAGAACTTTTTCAGAAACAAATAACATATTTATACCCAGTTTTGTTAAATTACTTTGTCTTTTATCATTTGAAGTTTATTTCTGCAGAGATATTCTGCCATCGTTCTGTCTGGTACGATTATTCACCAGTGCCAGTAACGGTATACGATTAAAAACTTTGCTGGTCTCTCGCATACGAATCTTAAGTTTCTGCCCATTGTTTAACTTTCTGTATGTGCTTACCCGTGCCTTTTAACTAGCACTCGATAAAAACCAACAAAGTTTCAAAGGGAGGTTTTTGCAGGAGTTAAGTGGACTAAGTGAGGACTTGCATGACTAATTAGCATAATTGCAGGTATGGTTCCTCGACGGTCATTTTTTAAAATAAGCACAATTACGTAGAAAAGAAAAAGTACGTCTAAATATCCATTTAGCTCTAATTTTGCCTTTATTTTCACTCAAGTTGATTTTTTCTGCTGGAGCCGTGAAAATACTTTTTAATTACTGCAATGTCTGTTCGCTTTGTGGCGTATAGGCAAGGCAATTAAATTTAAAAAAACTTAATTAACCTCGAAAGAGTTAACATCGCTTGTCTTAACTGTCACTGCTCTTAACTGCAAATAACCTTTCGGCGCTTCTAAAAAACTTCAGCTTCTTTGTTCGGTTAAAAAACAGTTGCGAAACCGTGTCAGCAGGACTGTAAACCAAAGAATTCACAACTAACAGCAGCTGCAGGGACCATAAAACATTGTCATTCATTCCCCATTTGCCTGACATTGGCATTGACAAAGGCAGCCCATGACAAGGCTTGTTAGAATATAGACATACGGCTTCTTCCTCTTAAAGTTGACCTGGGAAGTATCGAGTCCGAAAGAAGTACAAATGTCATTTAACACTTTAATTGAAAAGTTTGAAAGCTTAGAATTCTTAACTAGTTCACAAATGCTGTAATCGTTGTAAAAGATTGGATGTGCGTGCTGGATAGAAATTTCAGACACCACCTTTTTCCTCACTGCTTGTAGCTGGCTCTCCTTTTCTGCTCTGATTTGCTCATCGTCATCGCTCTGGTTGACGTCTTGGTGGTCGAGACTTCGCTTTGACGCCAGACGAGAAAAAAAAACTAGAAATTTGCCTGCTTGTAAGAAACTCAGAGCAGTCAAATAGCTGCTCGCCGTTTTCGTCTTTCTCAGACCTCATTAATCTTGAGACACTTGCAGCATATGCCTTTTGTCCCGTTTGTTCTCCAGTTTGAACTTGGATATCAAGTAGTCCTTTTGCTTATCAGTGAAACGAGTATTGCGTGAAGCTACGGACGATGACGGGGTGAATTCCGTGTCCCGCAGTTCCGGCACAGCACTCGGTCCCTTCTCTACATACCCTGGCACGGCGCAGTCATAAAGAGTTTCATATTCAAGAACATATTTGTGTCTCCCACATTCGAGATGCTTCTGTAATGACGAATGGCGTTGATAGGACTTAATGCAACCCTCTTCCGAGCAGAAAAAAACATTTTTAGTTGTGGAATCACGCGATTCTTCACTTGAATTATCGGTACCTTAATCGGTGCTGTCTTGGTGCTTTTGAGATGTTTTAGCAACCTCAGCACGTCTCTGCTTGATAGGTACAAAATTAGCTTTTATATTTTCGCTTGCTGCACTGTATTCCAGCGTTGGAACTTCGTCCTAGTCAGGAACATGAAACTTGCTCCAAGGAATGAATTCGCCTCTTCCAGTTTTGTAGGATCTCCATACTCTCACACCTTCCTCGCCATACTGAACGTTGTTGACAAAGCTCACACCATCCCATTTCACTGGCTTTTTGATGGAAGACAAAGAAGGCCTGCACAACACTGCTTTTACTCCAGGGACACCTCCAAATGATTCTATTGCCTCCTGCCTTTGAGATGCCGACTCTGTATCGTGGCCCGAATTCAAATGGATGGCCATATGGGATTTGATCGTTGCAGCTTTCCGATCGCAAGATCCCTTCCCTTCTTAGGGATCTGAAAAATCCATTCTGCATAGGAAGAGATTGTTTAGCTCTGCTACTTTCCTGGCTGTAACCAGGGTTAAAGCGCAGCGGTAACACCCGGCGTTGTCTTTTCTAAGATAAATGGATTGTAAATGAGGCATGACATCCTTCAGTCGACGAAAGACGTCGTTAAGTATGGCAAGAACTGCAGAACTGTCCTGGTTACAGTTCTCAAATAAGTGTATAAATGTCATCATCTCAATCTTGCCATCATTTCCCTTTCTCGTCGCAACCGTGATATGCCATGGCAGACCTCTCTTACCAAACCAGTTTGTTTAGCTCTTCCTGAATTTCTTTGGTAGATATTTCATGGCCCAGTATAAGACCAGTAAGACGGAAGTTTCATCCAGCTCATCGATGACGTCTAGTCTGGATTCGTCCCGGTTTGTTGAACGCAGTAAGTGCGATTTCTAGGAATTTATGCATTGTTTGGACTGTAAAGTCACAAAGACCACATCTTCTTTCGTATCGGTTGTGCCTCCCACTTCCTGTACAGCAACAACAGATGTAAGGCGAGAACATCGGTCGCGTGTGTGGCTGTGGTTGTGATGGCAAATTTCAGGGTAGTCTGTGTCGTCTGGACAACTTAGCGCGTAGGCTCGACAATGGTCTGGTACACTTGAGCTCGTTGATATGTGTACCTATTAATTGAAAACAAAAATCTCGAATCAGAACGTATGATGATGACTATGGTCCCTGTCTATCTGCACGTCTTCATTAATAATTCATATCTCTATATTGTAAGAACTGATGAAGCACACTCGATTATTTTTAGTGTTATGATAGTAATAATATTAATAATGATAATGATAATGATAATAGGGATAATAATGGTACCTTGTAATCACTCTTCAGATATCTCTTTCCTTCCTTCAGCTGTTCCTTCTTTTCTTTCACCCAGGCTGAGCCCATCCCACAGTCTTCTCCGAACTTATCGACAACACTCTCTAAATCATCAAAAGCCTGTGTGCCTTGTGCTGTAAAGTAATTGAGTCCCTGCAATTAGTTCCTCACACTAACAGAGCAATCATCAAGAATGTTATGAAGGGTGCTGCGTCCCATCGGAGCAAAACCCGTCTCAGTGCAAAACAGGTTATACTGTTCAACAACTCGCTCTAGGATGACCTTTCTTACCACATTGGGTACTGTTATTTTCTCTTCGGATGATAATTTCAATGTCCTTTCACCAATTGGAAGTTCTTGGGTAATGTGTTCAGTTGTGATGAAGTCAAGGAAGTGGTCAAGCTGCGAGGCTGAGACATACATTCTCGGCACACTACGCGCTTCAACTTCAGCACCTCCTCCATACATGTGAGCGTGTTGCCTGGCGACATTAAATCTATATCGTGTTAGACCAGGAATCCAACTCTGTTACGTTCGATAGCTAACTTTGTCGGCAATAATGGATAGGATTTGCCTTCGTGTGCTCCAGTGACTCGCATTCTTGTAGCATTCTGTTAGGGCGTCAACCAGCGTTAAGTCAACTTCGTCCTCTGTCTGTGCGATGTCGTTTGATATCACTAGTTTATTCAAGAGGATTTCAGCGTTCCCAGGTGCAATTTCTTCTAGGGCTGCTATCACGTCTTGCTCTACAAATGTGGTAGCGTTGTGTTCTACGGGCTATTGAATCCCATGATGTTAGCAACTGATGACGTACAGGGCTGACATCCCTACATGCTAAGAATGCATTGAGTGCTTCTCTAGAACTACCTTTTGCCTCTTTTGCGCCATCAGAATCTTCGGAACTCTCAGATAGGTGGTAAAAGCTGCCAGGTGTTTCCGCGGTCAGTCCCGGTGGTATTTCAGAACTGCTACAAGTACCTTTTACCTCTTTTGCGCTTTCAAAATCTTCTGAGCTCTCAGATGGGTGGTAAAGGCTCTCTGGTGTTTCCATAGCCGATGCCGGAGGTTCATGTTTTTCTGGAGTAACCATAGGATTCATTGGTATGTCACTACTGTTAGCCTGAGGATATATTCAAAGCACAAGTTTGAGTAGCGGCTATATGGCTTGGCACTCTATTTACGGAATTTTTTTGCACTGCAGCAGGCTAGTCAGTGCTCTTGCTTAATTAAGCCCTGCTACATTACTTACAACAACAAATAGAAAATTTAGTTTAACTTTATTGACTTCTTCAGAAAGTGTTATTGCGTTAAAAAAAGGCGGTCCTATTGAACCTATCGATTAGATTGCACATCATCTTTAGATCCTTGATTGCAAGCGTTAGTTCATCAATCTGTGACTTGCTTTCAAAACTCTCTCTGCATTTTCTACAGATACCTGTGAAATGGTAATAGAAGAAACAGTTATGAAAACGATAACGGTAATGATAATGACAACGATAATTATAGTGATGCTGATGATGTTGACGATGATAATAACGACAGTGATGATGAAGACGATGACGACAACAACGATGACGAGTAAAATGACTTTCAGTGAAAGTTAACTTTGACATGGAGCTCTTCCTTCCCATGATCGAAAAAATGACTACAGATCGTGGGCAAGTAATACAGAAAGAACAAACTAGGCCTAGCCCGAACCCGTCAAACCTTCGACGTACTTAATTCAGGGTATGAGTTCCTATCATCTCTAATCTGGACCTGAACCAATTTTAAGACTCACCCAGCCAATAATTTATGTCTACTGAAAAATTGCATTTCTTTAAAAGCACCAATATCTGAATATACATATATTATATATTACACAACAATTATCTTTTTTGCAATAGGGTTCATGAAAGCCATACCTGGACTTAGAGGTATAGGGATACCGGTTCTCTGAAATATAACTTTTGATATCGCTCTGCTAACACCTCTGTCTCCCCTTGACACCTTTTCCTTTGCCGTGGGAAGCGATCTCATCTGGAATTCTGCAGGTATTCTGGCTCCTTCGCCATCCAGTGCCAAGCTCAGAACGGTGGAATGGACAAATTGTTAGGGCGTTTATATCCTTTGCACTCATGTAAAAAATACCTGCTCGGGTAAGGATAGGTTCACTCTCATTCTCAACTCCGGCAATACACCAAGCACTTTTATGACCCTGTACATCCTTATTGCACGACACCAAGGGAACCACCTCAAATAATTTACTCCTGTCTCGTAGTCATAAAAGCAAGCACTTCTAACCATAAACTTAAATAAGCAAGAAGTTTCCATTTAATTCACATGCGAGACATCCTATTCAAAAGGGGCGGGAAATAATTATTTTCCTTAGTTTCACGTGAGAAAAATCGAATGGAGTAATGTTTATTAAGTTTTGTTAATTTAATTGTCTCGCTTTTAAATAGAAAAGTCAACAAACATCATAGACTTATTATTTCTTTTCCTCGTATTTGTGCCAATTTAAATGACGTCGACCGACCCCACTCGTAGGTTCAAATTATTCTGTCACACGAGAACGACGACTCGTACCGCAATTATGCAAATTAGGTCACGCAAGCCCTCACTTAACTCCTGCAGGGGCCTCTGTAAAGTAACATTTTGTGGATTTTCGTTTACCGTAAGCTGGTTAAAAGGCACGGGTTAGCTAGTCAAACAAGGGGCAGAAACTTAAGATTCGTATGGGAGAGACCAACAAAGTTTTTAATCGTATACCGTTTCTGGCACTGGTGCATAATCGTACTGGACAGAACGAGGGCAGAATATCTCTGCAGAAACAAACTTCAAATGATAAAAGACAAAGTAATTTAACTAAACTGGGTATAAATTTGTTATTTGTTTCTGAAAAAGTTCTCCTGTACGATTTTAAGTAATTTCAAAGGCATGAATGCTCCTTAACTCTTTGGTCACGCAATCTACATATTGTGTGACTTTATGTCTTCCCTGAGCCATTTTGAAGAGTTTCCTGCGTCGCGAGAAAACGTTTGCCCAAAGAAAATTTTACTTCATTTTGAAGATCATTCCTTCGGTAATTTACATAGTGATACGTAATTTGGTGTAATTCTGAATAATGGCACATGGTGAAAAAAGAGGTTTTCTTCACCGACATTTTTTTGCAACGGAAGAGAGCACATTGTTTTTTCGCATGGCTAAAAACTTCTAAGCAACCAATTCCTACACAACTTACCTTTTACAGAAGACGAAGAGTCTATGAAAGAGCACACGTTGATAAAATTTCCCTAGACGTAATATCTTTGAAATGCGAAGCGAGCGAAAGTGTTCAATTTTCGACCGACCTGTTATGACCCGATTCATCGATTCTAGAGGGTGAGAGCGAAAAGTTCGTTTTTCTCGAAAATTAAAACATATTGAAGGAAAAAAAAATACTTAACCTTTCTTGTCTTACTAGGCCTACTACCCTTGCCATAAAATTTCATTTTTGTTTGATTTTTGCACGGATGTCCTCTTAACTACGACCAATCTTCGAGAATCAAAACCTAAACAACAAAACCTCCCGTTGAGGATTCTAAGCAAGGTCAAGGACAAACCCAAACATGACTAGCGATCATTATATGTTCATATATATGAAAGTCATGCATTTGAACATATAATGAATACTACTTGAGCAGTAGTGAAAATGAATTTTTTCAGGCCTCATTTTCAGTACTGCTCAAGTAGTGTTCTTTACTGCGAAGATCGCTTTCATATTCACGTCTTTATCCGCAGTTCAAATATATGACTTTCATCTATTCACAGTCGTTTATTCATCACTTCGCGGGTTTATTTGTAACCAACACAATAACCAGCTCTCAGTTGTTAGCTTGTTAGCTCAGTTGGTAGAGCGCTGCACTGGCATCGCAAAGGTCATGGGTTCAAATCCATGGGTTCATATTCGCATCCCTGAAACAGTGGTTCCAGAACACTTCTAATTTCAGTAGTTCATAACAATAATCTAAATTTCCCTTTAAAAAGACTTTTGGTCCGGAAAAAATGTTTTTTATCAAAGCACTGTTATGTGCGAAAACACTGCGCATCAGCCGTTCGCCTGAATTTTGACACCATCCAAAATATGGTTCATTGTAACATACTTGACACCATTCTTTCTTGACTTTACTTTTGACTAGTAACAGTTCCGATCCAAAGCTAATCACACCTAACGTTTCTAATTGTTTTCCTATAAGCATAAAAAAATTGGATTAAAAATTGTAATAAAGAAGTCATATGTTTTCTTGAATCTTAACTTGAAGAAATAGATTATCATCCATAATATACTTCCTTGACTTGAGTTTCTTGTGGGATATAAACTGATTATAACCGAACTCTTCGTTCTCCTTTCCTTTGAGCCTACAAGAGTAGTCTGGGAACCTATACAAATTAACCAGTTTACTAACGTTTTCCCGTTTGTCCTCACCATCCTGTTGATCGATCAGTGTTAGTCGCACTTTCTTGGAAAAGGGGCAGGCTAATACGGCGTCATCTTCACCTTTCATTACAACAATGAACGCCGAAAGGTGAGTATTCTTGTCAAAAGCTCTGCCATTGGGATAAATTCTTATTTTTAAATTGTAGCCATAGGTTTGTGTGTGAGGAATCACACATTCCACTCTTTCTTTATTTCCGGCCTTGGCTTGTTTAAACACTTTATCAAAATCATGAATCTTCCAAAAACAAGTTCCGTTTTCCCTTTCTATCATTTTATATTCGTCTTCCAGTGCTTTTTCCAAAAAGAGGATCTGAAGTGTATTGACTTTGTCCATCAGTTGTCTTGTTAAGTTTTGTGTTTCCTTCAACCTCAGACAAGCTAAATCAAGATGAACCGTCACGGCAGTTTGAAGATGAGTCTCCACTTGTTTTCTTTGAACCTGAAAGAAAATTAAGCTTCCTAAGTTAAGAATTTTTCTTTTCCGTTGAAGACCTCAGCGTTAAACCAGGTGTATAGAATGGCATCATTATAGTGCAATAATTGCAATATCCGCTCTCTCTGGTGTAAACCCTCTCTCGACGTTACCATACCTATTAATTTCAATTTCTTTTTCATTTCAAGTCACTAATTCACTGTTTTTTCTTCAATTCTCTGAGTCGCTTTTGCAACTCGTCACATTTGCCTGCTGACAATTGATAATTGGATGCTACAATTCCTTACATACAGACCTTTGTTTCGCATCCCATCTCCGTGTAAGGGCAGAATATCATGGCGTGAGGACAATCATCTTTGGTATGGTTTGGTATCTGAAATAAATTCATCGTGTCATGTAGTTAACCAAACTGTTAGCTTATGTCATCTAAAACTGACTAAAAAATCTCCTTCACTTACCAGTTCCCTTTGAATTGACAGACCACAGCCGTTAGGACAGGTTACCGGGCACTTCAAGCACCTTTCAATATGATCCTGAAAGAGATAAGTTTAACATCTTTCATGAAATAACTCTCAGTTATTGCGTGCGTTGTGACTACTCAACAAAGCGGGCCTTTTTGCAAGGCCCGAGCCCTTTAAATCACTGTAGGAGCAAATTCATGAAATTTCTTAAGAATAAAGACTTCCTCTATACATCTAATCGTGATAAACTACCTGCATGCAACATGCTGGGTGTGGCTCGTTGCAATGTTCACATTCAGTGATCCTCCACAAACACGTGATAGTCTTGTGTCGTATGACCTCTCTCCGTTGCATGGTCTCATGACAGTGTTCGTTAGGACAAGTGATGACTTTGAAAAGACAAGCTTTCAGGTGAGTCTGTAATAAAAATATAAAATATATCTCAGATATAACTAACGAAAGATACGATAGCTATCAAATAACGCTAAGCTCGTTGTGATTCCGAAGTTACCTCTTTGTTCCTCAGTTCCCCAGTCCATTCGCAGTCACCACAAGGACATTTGATAGCAAAGGAAAGGATTTTTCGTTCTGTCGCTTTATCAGGGAAGACATCCGGCTATAAGAGAAACCATACACTTAACATAAAGATTAATAGCTGATGTTCCAAAATAGGATTTTTGTAAACCTCGAGGACAATCAAAGTAATTTACGTACTCGTCATGTTTTCTTCTGTATGAAATGGAAAAACCGATTGCAGCTGTTACTCAGATAGTGCAGTAATGGCTTAGAGATATCAGCATCCTTCTGTTTAATTTCATGTTATTTGTCTTAAGAGAAGGGCAAGAGACAACTTTGTGCTTCACTGGTAAGTGCTATTACATACTTTTACCCGACGATGTAAGGGTAAAGTATTTGAAGTAGACTCATCTCTTTCCTTTGACCTTTATAAATTTTTACTACCCAAAATAATTTAAAGTGATTCAGTGCTATTTAGTGAGGACCGAGGAAATAATCTTTCTATTAAAATAACTTTTGATGCAAGCATAGCTTTGATGTGGACGTCTGTCGGTCAAAGGAAACGTAAATAAGCACATATACCTTGTCTTTGTCTAGAACTTCTCTATCCACGGGGCAAGCTGAAGGCTGATCATTGATCTCCAGTCTGTTAACAAGATGTTAGATAAATTAACCTTTTATCTCCCAGAAGTGATTAACATGTACCTCCTCCCTATGATAACCCTACATTATTCAGCAAACAGGTAATGAGAATACTCGTAAATAGCGGGTAGAAGTTGTTAAATGGCTCTTACAGCAAATTCTTCTCACTGATTTAAAAGGAAATGTGTAGCAGCTAGAGGGGAGAATTAAAGGGTTAAATGACTTATTGGTCGACTCAGTTGACGTCGAATGGTCCCGTGGCCAAGTCGAAGGGACTTCGTGACAATTTTTACTTCCTTTAACGTGGATAATTGTTTTGGTGGAACAATACACAACATTGCAAGTGTAATGGTCACGAGAGTTTGTGGTGGGGGGTGGAGTAAGCATAAGAGCCAATGATCAATTGTGTAGTAGTACAAACTTTAAACGTACTTTGCATTACTTATAAATGTTTCCAGCTGTTAGGTATTTGTGGTTTTACCATCATAGACGGAATCGCTCAACAAATGAGGTTTGCGAAAACTTTTTTCTCAGTTCTGAAAATTCTTGTTTTTAATGTGATCGCCACTTGAAAAGCATTTGTTTGTATTGAGTCAGCATATTTCATAATTTTTTCTATTCAAATGAAACTTCTAAATCAACACTTTATAACGCTGGTGTAACCGTTGCAAGATCCTGAAATGTTCAGTCAAGTTTTAAGGGCACTCCACATTACGTGCAAAACTTTTAAACTTTGAGGTGGGTAAAAATACGCTCATATAAGGAATCCCTCAACAGATCAGATTACTGAAAAATTTTTGCTCAGTAAGGAACATATCAATAAAATTGTAGGGTTGCCTCTCAAGTAGCCCATGGGAGATCGTTATATGATTGGTATGATTGAGAAGTTTTGTCATCCTTCTTTTGACTGTGATACTTTCAGAAAATTTCATCAACTGTAATCAACTTTATGAGCATCAACTCATAATAAACTTTAGGTTGGACTGTTCGCCTCAGCGGTTATGTTAATAGCTCATCAATAAGGCAGGGAATCGAAGACATTAAAATTAGTCTTTTTAAGTTGGTGCACCAAACGGTTATGGCCTTAAGTCCCGAAAGCAGCTCTTATTTACATGAAATTACTTTTGAATGTCACGGAAGGTTTTCGAGTTGAGGCTGGGAGGGATCATAGCCTTAATGTGGAAATCAGGCTTTGCAAAATGGTCTCTTTTGTTGCATAAAATAAACTTAAATATTCATTCACATGTGTGCAGTAAAGCGTTAATCAAGCAACTGGCTATTGCAGAAGTGTTACAATAAATCAGTGTAATTTCAGTCTCTCAAGGTTTCAATAACGTTTGTAAGCCGACCTTTTGCAGAGCAAAAAAGTTGCGATGCATCCGAGTTTCCTCTCGTAAGATTTATTTGTATTCTTGCGTGTGCTATGAAGCCAGACTAAGTGAGCTTCGATTTTGATCTATGATGTAAATATAAGACCAAATCTATTAAGGACAAATGTCCACTATGAAAAATCAAGAAAGTCTCTGTTTTAGTGAGAATTTATTCTGAAGTTACCATTTCTTAGAAGCTTTCCAAATCTTCTTGGAAAGATACGTCAAGAGCGGTCATATCCGAATTATCTTTTTTTTCGTCTCATTGTTTCGTGCACTGGCAAAATAACAAGGTGAACAGCAGATCTATGCATATCTATTTATTTCTCAAATCGAAATTATAACGGCTGATATGGCACCACTGAACCACAACGACATAGGAGGCAGTTGTGTACACATAGGCGGAGGGAAAGTTCTAAGAGAGTAATTTTCAAGGTTCATGTAAGAACATCTTAGAACAATTTTCATGCTCTATGATTTTCGCATTTCTCGAAAATACTAAAGTGTTGACAGGACCGATGACTCTAACAGTCGATCACACTGTCAATAGCAAGAGTGTGTTTACCTCAAAGTGCAGCCAAAAACAATCAGGGGGAAACTATACATGCTAATGCTCTAAATGTAAAAAACAAGCCGTGCCAGGTTGGTCTTTACATCGGCTGTTAGAACAAACATACCTTGTTTATATAACCGTGTGCTGAACAAAATCCCGCAAACTGTTTCACAACGTAAAACTAGAGTTAAGTGTATGTTCGGTTGCCCGAATCAGGTAACCGCCAGTGAAGGCGGACTTCATAATCCGGCGAACGAAATTCAAACAAGAAAGACGCACCTTCTAAAACATTCCTCGAGGCATCCCTTACAAAATCTGTGACCGCATTTCGTTTGCAGTGGTTCCCTAAGCGGCAACTGGCAAATTAAACAAATAAAATCGTGCTCGACTGTATCCAAAAAGTCCTCGTCATAACCCGAAGGATACTCATTTCCTAGAGCTTCCGCCATTTTGAAAGACGAATCGAAAGTAAACGCCTTGTCTTGTCACTCAAAATCAAAATATGCTGCTTCATTACCGTATTTATTCGATTAAACGCCGCCCTCGAATAATCGCCGCATTTTAGAGCAGAAATATTTGTAAACGCCGCCCTCGAAAAAATGCCACAGCATGATGCCGCATTTATTCGAATAAAAGACTCAAAAAGAAAACAGCGATCATTGCTTCGATCGCATTTGGAAATTTTGAGTGAATCAGACGTAATTTTTTTTAATGTACCAGTTCTGATGTCGAGAGAGGATATCCGACATTAGATCTTTATTCACTTTATGTATTGCAGTAATATTAACATACCAGTTGTGAAATTGAGAACAATATAAAAAATGACTCTTTAAATTAGTCAGTGAACATACTATTGTTTGCAAGAAATAAAAATTTGATTTTAAATAAATGCCACCCTCGTATAAAAGCCTCCCTCGAATAAACGCTGCACTCGAATCACGAAAAATTTAATAAACGCCGTGGCATTTAATTGAATAAATACTGTAAAACATCGTATCTGCAGTTATCTCGTTCTCCACTTGAGACAGAGGAGGTATATAAAGAAGCGTTTCTGACCCACATGAGGTCAGAATCACAGGAAGGCTGAATATTAAAATTTATAGGGGCAATGCAAATCAGCGAGATAGTTGGTAGACGGAACTGCGAGATCAGCAGACTCGACTTTTGATTGGAGTTACAGTTTAAGGTGCTGATATTGTGTGACACCAAAAAATGGAATTAACGTAAGCGTAGGCAATCTGACTTTTGCAATGCAGGTAGGGCCTCGATGCCTGTTGCAGTTTGTCTTTTAAATTAAATAAAATAGGGAGAAAAACCAAGCAAACCGCAAGTGGCATATTTTAAAAGTACACCGAGACAAAGCCTTTCATCGACAATATATCCCACGGTACAGTAAAACTGACTTATAGGTGTGATACCTTTCAATAGCAAACGTAATCTAAGAAGGTCACAAACATTCAAGTGCGCACCCATTCGGTGGCAGATGATATCCACCTGCACCAGAAATTGGCGAGGGCTCAACAGCTTTGCTGTAGAATTTCAAAATCTTAATGAAATGAATCATATTTTGAACTGCGAATAAAATTCAATAAAAGAAATTGAGGGATCCTTGAAGGTGAGGTGCAATTGAGATAATTGTACTAAAGGAGCCTGAAAAAATTCAGTCTTTGATGGGATTCGAACCCAGGCCACTTAATCCTTTCTACTTTCAAATGGGGAACGGAGACAGCATGGTTTTGAGAGATACACTTACCAACGCCTCGGCCTGGGTCCGATAACGAGACAGGTTGTGTGTGTTTTGTGTTGAAAACAAACACTTATATTAAAATTCTAATTTGACTTAAAATCAGAGCAAAGAACCCTTACGTGAATAGGCCAGTGCTAAAGACTGGTGTTTAATTATTCATTCATGCATTGATTGATTGATTGATGGATTGATTGATTTATTATTATTATTCCTGGATTGGGTTTGGTACAGGAGGGCAACATGATGACTATAACACATGTGGAAACGAGGCTTCGCTTTCACCGGATAATGGAGATAAACACATTAAAGCCATGGGTTACATTTTGGTGTATTGAAACCAAGAGAAATATGCGGAAAGTTTATTCAAATGTTAAGATTGGACTCAGAACGATTCAGTAATAAATAAAAAAGCCTATTTCGAAAATGTTAAATGTAACGAACATTCGAAGTACACTTTGATTACGTAATCGTTTTGTTTTGATTTAAAGTAGGGAAAAACTTCTGTTTTGTTTCTTTGTCGAGTTTACGCCCGAATTTTCCAAGTGAACTTTTCTTCACACTTTGAATTACCTACTTAGCTAGCATTCCTGATAAACCAGTTTGCAATTGTATGCGTGAACTATACCCTTATAGAGGTTCGCCCATTAATTATCGAGTCAGTTGGAGTTAGGAGATCGACGGAGATAGATCAGAGTTTCTTTTTACACAAGATTGTTCCAATTACGTAACGTTGCCGTTTCTCTAAGCCCGTAAAGACAGGATCAGACGCAAATTCCGGCTCATTGTATTAAGTTTCCTTTTCTTTTCGACTTCGCTTGTTTTGTAACTAGTCTCAGCCTTTCCTTTTTTCAGTTTTCACCACATGTGTACGATAGTCAAACGATAGCATTAAACGTTGTTGAATCAACTTGCGTTGTCGATTCCTACACTGTGGTTGACACTCCCCGAACTTCAGTGCACAACACCCGTGTCCGTTGCACTGGGTAGGCAAACTTAAAAGATGTGTTTTTTTTTTCCGTTGTATACATCAATTTTATTTGAGCCTTTTTTCGATTGTCTCGTTGGCCCTGAACGTCGTTCGCACATTTACTTTGGCAAGAGCAATTGTTAAGAAAGACTCGAACCGTTCGCCGATACATTTGAAAGCAAAACTTGAAAACGGCACCGATTTCGAGGGAACACTCGATAATGTAAAATTCTGTCATGAGATTTTCACCATCTGTATGACTAGTTATGTTATCTGCATGACAGAATCTTCCTGCATCATAATGCACAACAGCATATAAGTTACGCGTACTCAATCCAGACCTCATCGCTTAAAGAAGACAAGCAGTAAGCAGTGAAAGAGTCGCGATCCACATCCGAAGTGACCACATCGTGAGATAAACGATTATATTTCTCTTCTGATGAAAGTGTAATTAACTACGATGAAAAATCACAACCTTTTTTACGATAAGAAACCTACAGTCGTGCTTTACAGCACCGATGAATAAAGGCTCTGAGGACCATATGCTGTGGGTCCTCTTAACAGACAAATGGTATTACAATCAAAGATGATGATTCTCGTTTTTATTAATCAATCTTGGGTTTGGCCCATTCCCTGCACGGTTACAATCTGGATACGAGACGTTCTCCGATGTAGATTGATTTTCTTACCATGTCTTAACTATGGTTTTTTTTCAATTTCCTTTTGTTTGAGGGCACCCTTCGACCCCATTGAGACTCTCGTATCTAAGGTCGTTAGACTGAAAGCAAAAAAACAACACCCAAATATGTGACCTGAAATCCACCTGAAAAGGTTCAAGAAAGTTCAGACTCATCAAATCGGGATTCATCAGATGATGAATTAATGCCTTCAAAGGCTCAGATGTCGATTTGATTTTAGACATGTGCTGATGGAAAATTTTGCCTCATTTTCGTGCCGTTCACCAGTCAGTTTTGGGAAAAGGTTAGCCTTAACTGGTACAAGACTGACTGAACACAGGAACATGAGAAAGTATAGTGTAAGCAATATAATTTCTGAACATCAACGACTGACGGTCATCGAGGTCTTTTCTTGCTCAGGCGGGTTGAAGGAAACTAGTGCGTAAGGGCCACCTGTTAGCCATGAGTGTTATGATGCGACTCAGTCAAGCATAGCCATTTCTCAGAAATTTTGTATTGTTCTGAGAGATTTGATTTCAGTTAAGTGACAGTCTGTGAGAAGCGGCCGATAGAAGATTAACTTTGTTGGAGTTAAATGCAAAATCTTTGAAATGGAAATCTCTCTGGAAAATACTCATTCACTTTCTGGTTATGGAGAGGATTTCATGAGTCCAATTGACGACGATTTACTGTGTTTAATTTGTCAACTTCCTTTGCGAGAGCCAGTTCTGACGAGATGCGGCCACAGATTTTGTCGACAATGCCTCGAGCAACATCTTGCAAGGTTTGCGCTCGTATATCGCTACTTTATTGTCACTCATCAATGAAAGTTACGTTCTACTCATCGCTTAAAAATTTAGATAAGATATTTTTTATATAAACGTGCTTGCAATAAGTCAGTCATGACATCTCCAAGAAAGCATAATATCATTGAAAGGTAAACCGTGGACGACTAACTTCTCGCACTCAATAAAGCTAATAGTTCTCTTGATTTCTGCTTGTTATTCAAAAAATGCACCCATTCGCGTCGCTCACTCGTGAAATATTTTTCAAGACTCGAAGAGAAACTTCTTATCGCCGCCCAGCCATATTATGTCCTCTATATCTATGCAACTGCGATAAATTTCTCAAGTTAGGTGACCATTAGCCCACAGTACGTTAGTAAAATAAACCCGGCTCTGATCATTCGTCTGTGTCGGTATTTATGTTCTCGAAAGTCAAGTCTCTTTCACCAAAGATCGACGAAGCTGGAGTGGCATTTGCAATGCAAATCTGCACTTCACTTGCAGCACGGCCTAGCTTAAAAACCACATAGGTGATAATATTTTATAATATCATCCGACGGGATAGGAAAACAAGTTGTTATATCTTATGTAGCATACACGCATTATGTATACATCTTATGTTGCATACATCAATTAGTTTATATTTAAGCATCTTAATGTTTTTAAGGCCCGGTTCAAACGTCGAACTTCCATACACTGCAACTAATAGTCAGGTTTGGCACATGTAAACTTCGACGTTTGAATCAATCGACTTCATTTCATACTTCGAACCGTTTCATGTGCCGAATCTAATGCATACATTACAAATACATGAAATAAATTAATTTTTACTCAGAGCACTGCACGTTTCGTATATTTGTCATGCACACACAACTTGATTTGCAACGAAATGGCGGGAAAAGCGGAAAATAATTAGAGTCTACCACTGCCGTCAGTTCAATGGAGTAGAAATTCTTAAAATTATGATACTCTTTGCATGCCTGAAGTCATAAAGGCGGGTTTTTCATAGGAATATGGCAGCCACTGTATTGCTGCTCAGCAGCGAAGAAATCGCCAAAATTGTTCCTTGTCGATAATTTTTGTTTGAACCCTTCTTCAGTTTGAGGCACGTGACTTGACACAGTCTCATTCCATAAATGGTCCACCAGGTCTTGACAGACTTCTTAGCAGATCGAGGAGACAGTGGAGATGCCTAGTCCTGACATTTCTGCAATGGTATAAAGATAATCTCCTCTGTCTATTCTATACAGACAAATAGCAAGCCTCATTGCTGGCGATATCGGTTCACAGTTTGATGAATAAGGAAGGGTTCAATACGGTTCAGGATGAAATTAAATGTTTCCCGGGAAGCTCTGAAAGTTTTCATGAATCCTGCCTCTGAATAGGTGTTGCAAGCATTCCCCCCGCCCAGCCAATATCTCTTTTCAGCCGATAACAAGTATGAACTGGGCGAGAAATGGTGATGTTCCTTTGGGTAATGAGTAATACTAGAGGGCAAGCGAAATTCAAAACTCTTCTCCTCCTGGTAGCGAGGTTAGTTAATGCTAACTGCATCTTCTGCATCTTGAGTCGCCTTCTCCTACCCTCCTTCATCGCACTGGCTCTTCGTTTCTACAACTTGTCTTTCCCGCATTTTTCCCGCCATTTTGGTAAGCAATAACTGCTGATCGCAATAGAGTCATGTTCACTTTTTCAATTAAGTTCGATTTAATTAGGTTCGACGTTTGAATCACCTGCCAAACTTAATTATTTGAGTCGACCCAAATTGGTGCTAGGTTCGGCACATGTAAAGTTCGACGTTTGAACCGGGCGTTTAAGGGTCAAAATCCGCCCCCAGCGGCCTCTTAGGGGCATATCTTCAATTACTGTTGCAACTGTTTACCATCCGCCGAGTGCAACCGGTTCTTTGACTTTAAACTACTTGTTCCAGTCGCAATCAAAAATTGAATCCCTTTCTCTTGAATGTGGCCTCATTCTTTTAGGGGATTTCAAGAAGCTGAACTGCTCTGGTTACAGGAACACTTTCGGTCTCCATTCAATCGTCCCATTTCCAACTCGTGGACAGAGTAAACTGGGCCTTGTCTAAATGTGTCTTTTCAAGCGAGAGTTGCAAACTCGTTTCCCGGGTTGATACACGCGCATGCGATAAACTCCAAACCAAAATAGGATCTTTTCTTTCTTTATTCCTTCCCTATTCCTTGGGGTGTTATTATATCGGAGCGGTCAACTGAAATTATTACGTAAAGAAATCAGCTAAGTATGGTGATCATAGCTTAGGAATGATCTCTCTTGAACTGAAACGCTAACTATAATTTTCTGTCCAAAAAGAACTAATCACGGGGGCGTCAACATAACCAGAAAATATTTCGCAGCTTTTCTCGGAAGCGGTAACACTTAGCTTCAATGGAAGCAGTTACACCTTGTTTTTACCAATCTTAATGCATTTTACTCAAATTTTGAAATCACGAGCGCCAAGCAGCCCTTGCTCGTGATGATAAAGCTTGCTTTCGCCGCCTTCGGAATCTTGTTAACCGCTAGCTGATGAGGTCCTGTTATGCTAAATACTATGGACCCAAAGTCGAACATCTTAGAGATTGCGAGCCGCGTAGGTGGTGGAAAGAAGTTAAATCGCTCGGCGGGATGCAATCAGCCACGCACACGGATCCGACGTCTGTCCTGAAGCATATTGACTCAGGGTCTGATTCTAGTCCTACTTCCCTTGCCAATATCATTAATAATGCATTTTTGCCCCAATTTATACAATTATTCCTTTGGATCCTGAATTTTCTGTTGTTGCGCAACACACCGATGCATCAACGGTTACTGAGTTCCGTGTCCTAAAGAAACTCACCGCCCTTAATTGTGCCAAAGCTTCATGACCAGGCGGCATACCTGGCTGGCTGCTAAAAGAGAACCTGGACTTACTGGCTCCTGTGGTTACTGAGATCCTTAATTTCTCATAATCGGAGGCTCCACTGCTCCATACCTGGATAAACGCTAACGTTGCCCTATTCCTCAACAGACCCCTCATCAGGCCTACTGAAACTTTCATACCACCGTCAGGAACTGGTTGATGAATTATTCAAGAAAATAATTCAGAGCGAACAGAACAAACTCCATGATCTTCTTTCTGCTCGTAAGACAAGAACTTTGAACCTTAGAAACAAAGGGAAGCCGGTTTAGGCCAGTGTTCAAGACAAAAAGATTTCGTAACAGTTTTATCACTTTTAATACCCTAAAAGCTTAAACTATTTTATTTGACTATTTTATTGGAATGTTATATTCATTCGAAAAAGTCTATCTACAAACGTAACAGATAGACAAACAAATTTTTATTACAAACTTGCTTTAAACCATTGATAGTTCTTTTAGATGTTATGGTTGATATTATCCTTGGTAATAATCGTGTAATTCAATTTTTTTCGTCGCAAAGCGATAATAAGTAAACCACTTATCTTTCTCCTTAGCTTCTAATTTGTCATTTATCACAGATTTTATCTGGGAAATTAGTCATATATAGTTCAAAGTGATTTTCCGTAAGATTTTCAAATGGCATTGCAAAGCAGAGAAATAAACTTTGTTTGTCGTCGAATGATATAGGAGCTTACTTTAGGTGACTGAATAATAATGCGCTTGCATCGGCTATAATATACGAACTTGTACATGGCTACACAGACCAAGTGAGTTATTCAAGTTCATGGATATAAGCTTATGTCAAAAGTTTCGCGTTATGTTCTTGCAGTCCTTCTCAAAACGAAATATAGCCATATCGTTCAAAATGTTTAAAAAATCAAAATCATGATTGATATTTTTTCTTTCAACAGGCAAGAAAGTCAACATCAAGTCTGTAATTGTCCTGTTGATAGAGAAAAACTTGAGCGCAGCCAGGTACATAAAACGGGTAACACAAAAGCCTGGTTCATGCAGGAGAAAATGTAGATTTACTGGTCGAACATCCACGTGATCAGAAGGCTCTGAGATACGTTAGTGCCGTCGATTGTTGGAAGTAAATTCGCTAACACTCGTTGTTTGTTTGGTTGAATCTTCTTCAATCTCTTTTCTTCTCAAGTTGTTACAACGGGGACTAACCCCTATCGCATGAGAAAAGTGAGGGTCACCGTTTATAAAGTGACACTACCGATGACGCGACTAAGCTGTCAATCTTCTGTACCGTCATCGTTCCATCTCAGCCAGCGAATCACGTTAGATTGCGTATGACAGTTCCTGCTTATTAGGTATGCGCCTTCGAGTTAGGAATGCAGGAATGGTTTAAAGTAATAGAATATTTCCATTCCTTACCCCGACACCAATATAAGGAAACCCTTATGATATTTCAGATTAAATATAGTCCCATTTTTATCGTTTAACACGATGACATCCAACATGGCGGTGAGGCTTTTTGTCTCAAGAAAGACGATGTCTTAGATACCTAGGGAATATCTTTGCTACTTCCCTTATTCAAAAAGCAGAAAATTTAAGCTTTGTAGCCCTAAAAGTATTTCAGTATTACGTGAATGTATTCGTAAATAGATGGTTCAAGTACTTTAGTCAAAGCGTAACTTCTTTCAGATGTCTTTGAAATGGGCACAACTTTAGCCGTGCAGTGCAGGGTCTCAGAGTTGATTGTAGTCCAGCTCGCCTATGAGTTAAATTTTGAGAATAAAATAAAAATAAACAAGTATAAAAACTTTCATTTTCATTTCATATAGGATGTATTTCCTGACAAAGCAACTGAAAGGAAGATCCTCTCGTTTACCATAAAATGCCGAAATGAAGGTTGCGAGTGGACTGGCGAACTGCGGGAAAAGAGGTACAGTACCTCTCTTTTTCACAGACAGAGAAAGTTTTACTTTTATTCAGAGGGGTAATCATGCACACTGTGCTGAAGGGCTGAAAAACTATTCGCTTTACGTGGCAAAAGAAGTCCTCAAGCTTAAAATAGACTCAGGACATAAATGGCGTCCTTTGCCGGTTCTAGTGAAACGGAAATAAATTTTAAAACATTGAAAATGAGCTTATGCAACCCCCCAGAATAAAATTGTTCAAGGCTGCATAAGCTTCCTAAAACACATTCGACCTTGAAAAGTTTGAAATGCTCTTTAGTGATGGATATTTAAGGCTAATTTTTTTTTTTTTGTGAACAGTGATTGAGAGAAATTCATACTTTTCTTCTTTTGGGTTTTTCCTTTTACCATGGCATGGTCAATCAGAGGACAATGCAATTTCGAACCTAGGAATGCTGAGATAGTCTCAGAAAAAAAAAAAAAGCTGTCAATGACCCGTTTTTGTTTTATAAAGAATGTTGTTATACACAATTAGCTTTTACTGTTTGTGTCAACCTGAGTCTCAAACGTCGCCTTGCCTTGATTTTTATAATTTTCCTAGAATCATCTGCTATCCTGCAGTTTCTGTCTTGTTCCTTGTGTAAACGAGGAGTGTGATGCTGCCATCAAAAGGCATGAATTGGAAGATCACGTGATTAACAATTGTGAATGGAGTATGGTTGCGTGTGATTATTGTTGTGAGCAACATCCGAAATGTTTGATGCAGGTAATTCATTATACTTTGAGATTTCCTCGTACAGAGCAACAAATTTGAAACCATGGAAGGCAGTGACCATCATTACGGCACAAGACAGCACTAAGTGCTTGTGGGGACTCAGAGGGCAGTGGTATCTACCATGGTTTGGAAAGAACAGTTTGCAAAGTCTACTTTCCTCAAGGGATTCTCGTTCTTAGGCCTCTCTTGTCCTAAGGAGTGGAAGAAGGAGAGATCCTGGGAAAGAGTTTGATATATTTATGTGCCATGTTGTAATGCTGCTAGCACAATGAATAATGATTAGAAGATTTTTAGTGGACCAGTCTATTTAAACAATTATGGACGTATTTATCTTATTCCCCTCAGAGGCATATGGACGATTGTACAAAGATGCCACTGGAATGCGCAAATGGTTGTGGTGAAAAAATCGTGCGAGAAAAGGTATGCGGAAAGTGGTCAGTCAACGCGGTATTTCATTGAAATATTGATCTTCTAAATAAATCTTTTCTTTACGATAGAGTGAGACCCATAATGACACCGATTGTCCACTGGCCACGATCTCCTGTCCATATGTTGACATGGGGTGTACCACCAAGGTAATTTACCGATAATCACTTTTCTTCTGTCATTTATCACACCACTAGAAAGTAATTGAAATTGGACACGAAAGCTGGTCACTTATAAAACTACTGTAAATAGTTACATAAGCTTCCCTGTGAATTGTTTTATTATTTAAAACCAGCATTTTTTCTTTAACAATGAGTATGTACTAATGTTATTCATTCGAAATTTACCATTTGAGTTATGGGGCGACAATTTAGCTAGAATTTTTGTCGTATCAGTTGGAAGCCCTTTTTGGTCAGCCCAGAAGATGAGAATTGTATTTACTCGACTATAGTAATCATGATAATATTAAGGCGGGGGGGCAGCATTTTCCTGGACGAGCGCACTCGTAAGCTAACTGTTTTTTGTGGAAAAGTGTCCTTATGCTTCGCACTGCTCCGCTTTGCGTATAGTGGACTATCAGAGTCATCGTCGCGTTCGTAAACCGCGGCTCAGAATTGCAGTGTTTAATATACCTGAAAAACATTGTCCTTTAGAAAGACAGATTTACGAGATTGCCTCTGACATTTTCTGCTCTTGTTTTTTTAATGATAGTTTGAAGTACTTTTCTCCCTATGTGCGACGTTTATCCGGGGAATGGGGGAGATGGGGGGCGATCATGGGTGCAAACAAGGCCCATCTGCTCCGCAATATCTCAGCTGTTAGTCACATGTAGTTCTCCGTATCCTTTATCCCTCGTTTTAGATGCTAAGAAAGGAAGTCCAACTGCATCTTCAGACAGCTATCAGAATCCACTTTGAAAACGCCTGCAGAGTTTTCAAGGAGACCAATTCCAAACTTGAAGAGAAAGTAAGCGCACTTGAATTGAAGCAAGCGGAAATTGATCAGGAGAAATCAACTCTGCAAAAGCAAGTACGGGAATTGAAATTCGCCAATGCCGTCCTCGAAGCAAAGGTAACCGCCCAGGAGAAAAATGTGTCAGAATTAAAAAGCGGAAAATTTGCGTGGAGGAAAATGAATTTCAGCGTCATCTTAAAAAATGCCAAGAGTGGGTCTGGGAAAGAGATATACAGTTCTCCATTCGTAACTGCCGTGGCCTTTTCGCTGCAACGTCACATTGATCAAAAAGACAGGATGAATGTGTCCGAGCGCTTCATCAATCGTCCTATTCAAAGACCGAATTCAGATGCTTACATCAGTACCATCGGCAGTAGGAGATTTATATCCCACAAGAATCTGATGACATCACAGTACCTTGTTGAAGACACCATGTTTCTTCAAGTGGAGGTTTGTCCACGCCTCTGAACACAATTCTAAAACAGGGAGATGTTGGACTAGAATACTACAAAATGACAGAAAATAAAACTATAAACCTTAAATATTTGGATTACTTAAGATGGCCACGCATAAATTGCATATATAGACCTGTTTAAGTGTAGAAGAAAAATGTAGCTTAATATTCTGTTTGCAATTAAATAGTACACTATTCCAGACTACATGGATTGTCGTACCGCAATAAGATCGAAAATAAATCTGGGAATGAGAACTTTGGGAGGGCAATGAAACCAAATTTGGTGTTAGCCTCTTAGGAGTTGGTCCCATGTTACGAAAAGTATCAGTCATTATGCGCACAACACTATAAAGCAAATTTTACTGCGAAAAATCGTTGGAAAATAGACGGATGATACCTTTAAAACAGACTTTAGGGATTATTTTCCCCGCTTTTGCTATGAGAATCACCCAACTTTACGTTTACAGTGCACTTTCCTATTAATTTTTAGTTGGTTGTGTTGTGCTGCGTCAGTTTCCTATGGAACCAATAAACTTGGTTTACATTTTGCACATCAATCTGTTTTGATACTTTTTGAAATTACAAACATTCCAGGAATCTATGGATAACGACTATTATTTTTCCCTTTCTACCAGTGGTGTGAATTCAGGCTGTTAGGTAAAAAAGCTGACCCTAAGCTCACAGCAAAGTTGACCAAGAACACGATCCCGAGATGATATGGCTGACAGAAAGAATTCTAAGCCCATTTACAATCGCTACTTAGTCGGTTATTCGAAGTACTTCGAAGCACCACAACCGTAACCTAACCATAAAATTGGGTAAACATACCACATGACTAACAGAGCTTTCTCTGTCGCTAAAACGTCCGTATAATAACAGACCAGTAGGCTTGGGTTTGATCCTCACCCAACACTTAGTTTAATAATAACATTTATCAGAACTTCATCTATAGAATTAAACCTGCCGTTCACCTTCATTCCAGGGGGTCCCTTGTTTCTATCTGGTCCGGCTGGTTCAGCGGGTCCCTTAGAACCATTAAAAGACAAAGTAAGTTCGGGTTAAGAAAAGATGACAAGGAATTTTGGAGCCGTGACTGATAGATTTGCTCCAGCTATTAAAAGACGTTGCACTAGTATGATATGTCTTATTCTACTATTAATTGCAGAACAAAAGTACTTTAAGTTATGTTAATTTTACTTAAATGCAGTTAATCAGCAGAGATTATGTCCAGCAGATCAAGAAATCTAAAAAACAAAGTCAATTAAAAATTGCGGTTTGAAATAATTTGTGGAGTTTTCGGTGTAAATTCTAAGCCAAAAATCGGACACTAGCGTCCAAAATAAAAAAAATCAGACGCTAGTGTCCAAAATAAAAAAAATTGGACGCTAGAGTCCAAAATTGAAAATCTGACACTAGCGTCCAAATCAGAAATCAGACATTAGCGTCGAAAAACAAAAATCGGACAACAGTGTTCCAAATCAAAAATCAGACTTTATTCTTCAGAATAAAAAATAAGGTACTTGTGAAATGAATTGTCAATACACACTGAACTGAACCCTTTTCAATTAACGAAGATTTTCAGGGTTTAACTTATCAACTTCCATCAGCAGATGCAGTCACATATTCTGCAGACAGTGTCTTGAATAAATTTTCAAAGCTTTGTGTATGTGAATTATTTATTACAACACGATTTTCAACAGGTAGGTCCTCTGATGTGATTTTATCTTCAAGTCTCCTTTCTTCTCCCGCCTCCGGCCAAAAATAATCTCGTAAAAAGATGCTTCAAACGGCCCATGAAGGCGAAAAAATACCTCAAATGAATACATTGATATTTAGATATGTAATTTTCTGGGCTTTATGCATAACCCCCGTAGAGAATTTTTGTCTCATGTTAACAAGTATTAACCACAATACCATATAGTGTGGTCTGCCTGTGCCGAAACATAGTGGCTTCACCTCCTATTATAATGATTATGTAGGAGGCAGTAGCCACAGAAATCCGTGTTGATGCTTCTAAAAACCAAGATGTTGATAAGAGGGCAGTACTTTTGAGGGATATCGTGATTATTCATCGTTCAAATTTGTTGTTAAATACCAAAAAAAAGAATTTTCTTGATTGCGGTTAAGCTTCAAAACGGTCATGCGAACAATTTGATAACGGGGCATAGCAATTTCTGCTCTTAATTATGTACTTTAGTGTCATCATTCTAGAAAACAGTCATATGCAATTTATCATCGCATTGTGCTCCTACCGGCAAGTTTGTCGCTCTCGCCATTCAAATGGATAATAAAAATCGCATTGAATCCCTGTAACGATTCAATGCGATTTTTGACAAATCATCAAGGTTGCATGTGATAATATTTCCTATTTAGTCTACGAATTTATTTCTCTGTTACTGAGGTCTCATTCGTCACGTTACGGATGACTCAAAGAAAACTAGATTGAGATCTAGTTTTTACATATTGGTCTATAATTTGGTTAGACTGAGTCTTTCCCATTCACAGATGTTAGTTGAACCCATGTCAACGATTTGTGCCGTGACCGTTGAAGGCAATTGACGTTTTTGAGTTATTGATTGCTAATCAAATGGCACCTCTTACAATAAATTCCCAGATTAAGGGAAAATAAAATTCTCAGTACTGATTAATCATCATAATATGTTGTCTTTGACAGGCAGGAAATTAGTCGCATGCCTTTGACTTGCCCTGCAGATAGGGGTGCTCTGGATCGTGACCAAGTATATGATTTATGCACTACAATTGCATTTCATGTAATGATTAAACGAGCCTGAAAAGTGTCAGACCTCGAAGGTGATGGCGATCTAACTCTTGATTGCGGCGTTTCTCTACAGCTCCGAGGCACGGACGAAGCCGTAGTATTAACAGGACCATTGCGTCTAGTCGCCCTTGAGGCTGAGGTCTCCTGTTGCCTGCGTTTACTAGACTTATTGGGTGCAAGTCTAGCCATATGAGTAGACATAACGATCACCAAAACGCACGTTGTCGAGCGAAGATACACCAGAGAAATGGCGTTAAAAATTTGAATTTTTAGGGGCACCTCCTGGTACATTTCTTTGTATTTTGATTAACTGGGAAAGAAGTTGGCAGCTATCTCAACGGGGATCTGAAAGTGCTCATTTATCCTCACCCCATTACTATAGGGACCCTGAAGATGGCCATTTGATGATCAGCGTCTGTCGTTTTGGTGTTTGACAGAATCGGCGGCCGGAACATCGACGGGAAGGAGCCAGCTATAACTTGATCATAATTTTATTTCCTACATTTTTATTGCCCTCATGGATAGATCTGAAGAAGTCGTGAAAATACAAGGGAGGAAAAACGGCGAATGAACAGAGAACGGTAAAAGCGAAAACGACAACAAAGAAGTGCTAACAAAGATAAGACACTTGCGTCTGCGTTACAGGTTGAGAAGGCTGCGGAAGATATGCAAATAATTAGCGAGGAAGTATTATGATCGATGGCACTCTCTTCTCAGGCGAAAGGAAGCTCCAAGGAAGGCCTTAACATCGATTCCAAGGCAATCCCAAACGCAGAGAAAGATATGTGCAGTATTTAGATTTGAAAGTTAATTTTTTGAGCCTATGAGTTTAAGCTTCATTCAAACGGTCGTCTCTAATTGAGCTAAGACTTATGGAGGCTCATCGAACTGTCTTGAGAGTGGTCACTGAAGCAGTGAATGATCAGTTCTGTTGCCTTCTATATCTAGCCATCCTGTTAAAATGTAAACATCACCTGTTCCTCAAGGCAAGTGATGGGGAAGGGGGGGGTTGGAAGGAAGGGGGTGGAAGGGTGGAAGGGGGGCAAGGGGGGAAGGGGAGGATGAGGGGGCTAGAATGCCAAGGAATGGGCTACTGTATCTATGTCTACTTACTTTAGCCTGGTTTAGACAACAACTAGGTTTTGGTCATGATACCCCTAAAATTTGGCACTCATGTAAATGTGTTACGTAAGGGTGCTAAGGTCATGTGAAAGGTGGCCCTGAGTTTGACTAAGACTGGTGCTCTACCCTAATTTTTCTAGAAAAACCACAGGCAGCCTGTCTAGATGAGTCCATTCCTGCAAATTGCAAACTTTGCAGGTTTACAGGACCGTTTATTTTGATCATGTCTCCAAAACATCTAAAGAATAATCTCACGCAATTTGCAGATCATTTTTAGAAAGAGTTGGAACTATATTCTGCACTTTTTAATATTACTGGCAAAAAGCAATAAAGGAATACATACTTTCTCCTTCTGTTAAAAATTTTTGGTTGCTTATATTCGTGTTATCATGGTATCAATTTTCAAATGAAAATCTCTTTATTTGCCCTAGTCTGCTAGTTTTATAAGTCGCATTCTAGAGTGAAAGAAGAGCAGAAAAAGGAACAACATCTCATCAACCTGTTTCTCAAAAAAAATTATGGGAAATCGTGGTTTAGGGCTACTATGGAAGTCACAATTTATGAAGGAAAAAAATAGCCATTTCAAATTTTACTGGGGAAAAAAAAAAGGCCAATTGGAAATTATGCAAATACTCTTTAACACCCAGTTAGAAATCTGGAGAGAATTTAATAATTCCTTTTTCAAGTATTTGGTTCTAAATTTTTTAAAATTGTAATTCTCTGATGATATGGGGAGCTTTATGGGATAATGCTCCGCATATCAAAAGAGAATTAAAAATTAGCCGAGAGGTACTTGATATGTAAAGGTAACAAGTGGTTCATTGGAAATCAGCACATTTCAAATGAGTGTGACTGTAAGAACAATATCATTATTGGGCTTAAAAGAAAGATGATAAAAGGCCCCCAAGCAACCAGCGTAATCAGAAAAGCATCAGCATTGGCATTACAGAGGTTTAATATTTTGCTACATGACCTATGATCATGGCACCACCATTACTAATGCTTTCACAAGGTTTCCATGAGAGATCCCAAAGATGTTTTAGCATTAACATTTATTACATTTCTCAAAATTTAGATCCTTAGAAAGGAAACATGCAAATCCATCTTGGAAAATGATTGTTGACTTTTGGAGCCACAAAAAGATAAAGTGGGAAAGGAGATGAAGGTACATCATTGGTTTAGGTGTCTTTGGGTACTGCAGAAAGATGTTTTACAGGGGAATTCCTGCTGCA